AAACAATTTATTTCAATTTCAAACTACATGGATTCCACTTCAAAGTAACCACCAGGAAGTCTACTAAAAGATGCCTACTGCGGTTGCTTCGCCAAGTGCGCGTGAAGAGACAAGATTTGTGGCAAGACAATTTGTGGCTGCTTCATCACGACAATGTTCCTGCTCATAATGTTCTGAGCATCCGGTAGTTCCTGGCCGAGAAGAATATCACCGTACTGGAGCAACCTCTCTATTCAAGATCAAGGGTATCTTCAAAGGGACCATTTTGAAGGCGTAGAGGGCTGTATCGATGGGGCTGAGAGGCATCCGAGAAAGTACAGCTCTAAAATCCGCATTGAGATAGGCGAATATGCCTTCCAAAAGGTAAGCAAAGTATTAAGAAACACAAAGATTTCGTTAGAAACAAAGAAAAGAAGATTGAACTGTTATGTGATATATGTCCTCCTATATAACAGTGAATGCTGGACAATCTCCTGAAAAACAAAGACGAGACTTGAAACAACGGAAATGTAGTTCTACAAAAGGAGGCTGAGGATACCATGGACCGAATATGTGAGCAACGTTTTGAGAAAATTTAAAGTTTTACTTGACATCATGAAGAGACTGTTTAGATTTCTCTGGAACATAATGAGGAAAGTAGGTTTGGAAAATCTGATACTCCCAACACAGATTGAAGGCAAGAGGGACAGAGGAGACAATGCATAACATAATTAGTGAATAAATAGATGGCTGATCCAGGTATAGCAGAAATAACAAAAAGACAATATTTCGAACCGAAGACAGGAAATTATGGAGAGCCATGATCGCCAACATCCTGACTGGACACGACACATAAAGAAGAAATGCACGCTTTCTCGCTACAGAGAGAAATGGAGACATTATGGTTTTTATATTTCTAATACTATCACGTTGCTACAAGGATAAATTAAAACAGCAAAAACAAAAAAAACAAAACAAGGAGAAAACAGGAAAAACTTGATCGTCTGACAGAATATGCGTTTATACGGGTATGAATTAATTATAGAAAACCTTAAAAGAAATTCTTTGAAAATCAGGCAGGACTGGATTTTAAGAGGTTAGAAATTAATGTATGCATTACATACAGACAAAGACTTTATGTATTTATACAGCGTCGTTGTTAATATTTTTGCTAAAGACTTGCATTGAAAATGTAAAAAGGAAAGTGATTTTAATGGCTAGGAAATAAAACTAACGTTAGAAATAGAATAAAACAATAATGTAAATGCATTTCTAGTGACTTTGCTAAAATAAACAGGGAAAAGAACACACACAAGGCACACACACACACACACACATATATATATATATACATATATATATACGCATATGAAAAAAAACAGCCAAAAATATTATAAAGTCGGTTGATTGCGATTTCCATTCGTATTTATATACAGAAAAAAAATCTTTTCAAACAAGATTTGTATTTTTTTTTAAATTTCTGGTATGAAGAGTTCATGACTTACAATACTTATACGCAGACTACTATCCTCATCATTTTTGTGGTTTCAGTTTTTATGCCTTCCGACTACCAAATGAAACCTACAGGGAATTCCGAACTGAACTCTCAACAGCAAGGTTAGGTTTCAGGATCTAAGTTCTTACTTAGAATGCCAATAAGCGTTGAAAACAAGGAACCGTTTTAAGAGAACAGCCATTCACTATATTAGGCGAAAAGTTAGGATTTTCCCAGTTTTTAGTTTTGTTTTGAAGGTATTGAATGTTACAAGACAGATTTCTCCATTGAGCTTCAATTTTCTAACTCAGAAAAGGGAGAGTTCTACTTCAATATATTATTTAAATTACTGAAATCTCTCTCTCTCTCTCTCTCTCTATATATATATATATATATATATATATATATATATAGTGAGCTCTCTCTCTCTCTCTCTCTATATATATATATATATATATATATATATATATATATATATATATATGCGCCCCCCGTGCTGCTAATTAACACCAAAGGTTCTTCGCTATGAACTGAGCATTCTGGTAGCCGGTAATGCTTATATCTCGTATATAATGCGCTAAAATTCTCTTTCTCCTAATGGTCTAGGGGTGGGAGTCTTAGACTGATGTTAGATTGCTCGGGTTTCGCATGTCCAACCACAATTGATGAGGTGCGAAACACTCTGTAATGACTATATATATATATATATATATATATATATATATATATATATATATATATATATATATATAAATTAGCACGAAATCCCACTGAATCCATTACATTCACTTACGTGCTAATATTCTTGCGATATATATGAATCCTCGTCTTCTCTCTCCAGCTATGGTTAAATAGCAGGACAGACAAGGTTCTATAGCCTTGGATGGAAACTGTTCTAGGAGAAGGACAATACTGAATTCAAAACCTGCGGAGGGTCGTTTGGGGAGCTAGTGGAGCGTAGTGCACCAGGTCTCTTTATTCAGTTCTTCAAAAGGTGTGGTTGGTTCAGCACAAAGCCTTTACCGCTATAATGAAATCATATGTACTGATATCTGGTTATCGGTTCCGAGGAACGGAGTTTCTTGGCTTCATATGTCGCTAAACGACGAAAGAGTCCAGCATATATATGTTTGTGCGTGTATATATATATATATATATATATATATATATATATATATATATATATATATATATATAAATAAATATAATAATGGTTAAAAGATAATTGGGGTGTGTTTGAACAATATAATTTGCCTTGGGGCCTGATGATACCTCACGGCTGAAATTCGGGCAGTAAAAAACTAAATGTTTTCACCATTTTGTAGCATTAAGCGGCTCTGCAAGTCCATTTTTCTGAACGGTGCATTAAACAATTTTTTGTATATTCGTCTTTGGCACATACATACATACATACATATATATATATATATATATATATATATATATATATATATATATATATATATGTGTGTGTGTGTGTGTGTATATAAATTGAGTTGTAGCTCATACGGGTAATATGTTATATTTGCCGAAGGATTGTAGTTATACTAAAATCCGAAATGTTTATCGTGGAAAGTGTAGATGTTCATGTTCAGCGGAGATAGTCGTTAATTTTCAAATGCAATCCTTAAAAATGGTTAAGAGATTAAACGAAGATGCTGCAGTGAATAAATATTTAGACAAATTCTGCACATGTTCAGTTCCAAAAAGAAAAACATTTATTCCTATACGATAACAAAAAAATATAATAAAACAACAAAAGTTCTTTATCAGCATTGCTTAAAATGTTATCTCTCTGGCACACATATATACGCACACAAAACACACACAAACACACACACACACATATATATATATATATATGTGTATATCTGCAATTTTTATATATATTATTTATATATTATATATGCGCGGTATTTATTGGAAAGCGCTCAGTATCTGTGATAGATCTAACATATTTACTTGGATTGATGTCAGTTTGTGATCCTGGGTTTCACGCTGTTTACGATCGTCAAGAGCATGAAACCCAGGGTCACAAACTGACATCAATCCAATTATGTATATATATATATATATATATATATATATATTTCTAAGATGATGTATTATGTAAACTATTTACATTATTCGGGCTAATGTCCTCATTTCTGTCGCCATATTTATTACAAAGTTTCGTTTCGGCCTTTGTACGTTCCGGCCCTCTTCCTGTGGTTGGAATGTCGAACTGAACCCTTTATTTCGCTCACCGGGGTAGACTGTTCTAGTTCCACGTGCCATGTTTAATGGATGTCAGTTCTCAATTGTCTCCTGATAATTCCCCTCTCCAAGTTCTCCACTGCCTTAAGGGTATTTGGGCCTCTGTGGCTGTAATGAACCCGACTGGAATTCGAACTGGAGTCCTAATGCCGAGACGTTATTCAATCTATCACACCGCACATCATAAGTTTGTTTAGGCAACGCGAAATCATTTATGTAAGTTATATTAAATTCAACCATGGTCTGTCGGCTTATTTTTTTTATTGTAGCTTTCTAATTTTCGAGTAAGCTCTTGTTCATCAGGATATTGACGATAAACTGTCGAATCTGTTCATGTTTTTGTTTTTATTGTAATATTTCCATCATCTAATGAACTCGATATCGTGTGACGTAGAGAAATGTCTTGTTAGCTGTATTTTCAGAATGTTTCGCTTTAAAACAAATCAAACCAAAACCTTGAACCTGAACATAGTTTATACACAGTTTTGAACCAGATGTGCAACAACTTTTTCGAAAACTGGAAAATATATTAAATATTAGACAAATAGATCTTGTTGGTTGTGTGTGTCAGGGATGAATACGATGGTAACAGGCTTCTAAAATATTTATGATGGAGTAGTGTACCAGTGTACTCACATAGTCACTCTTAACTCTGCTTACCATCGTAGCAAGAAATCGTTCTGCAGGGAGATGCAGATTCATGCCTTTCCATAAGTTGAAATAAATATAAGCTGCTGAAGCTGAAATTTGAACCTGATTCCATGTTGCATTTACAGGTAAACATCTCTCTATTAATTTTCCATTTTTTTACCATTTTTTTGTCTTCCACTTCTTTTTCTCACGTCCTTATTTCTTTCTTTCTCACCTCCTTATCTCTTTCTTTTCCGCTTTCTTATTTTTGTCTCTTCTTTATCGCTCTTTTTCTCTCTTTTTTATATCTTTCTTTCTCTCTTTCAGGCTTTCTTTCGCTTTTTTTCTCGTCTTTATTCCTCTATTTCATCTCTGTTGTATTCTTTCTCTTTTCTTTCTCTCTCACTTGCCTTCCACACTTTATTTATCTTTCTTTTTATTTCTCTTCCTCTCTGACCAATTCTCTTTCCTCTTCTTCTTCTCTCTTCTTTCGCCCTATAATTTACCTTTACCTTTTCTCACTTTTCTGTCTGTCTGTCTATCTCTCTCTCTCTCTCTCACACACACACACACACACATTCTCTTTTCCTTTTTTCTTAATCTCTCTCTTATCCATTCACGCGGCTCAACATGCACATGATTAAATGCGTCCAACCAGTTCGAAACGTCACTGTTCGACCTTCCCATATGAAAGACGAGAGTATATGTTTACCACCCTTTTGCCAACCCATTCAGTATTGCGGTTTACCAACTCTAACCTTAGTTTATATATATATATATATATATATATATATATATATATATATATATATATGCAAATAACGGAGCCTGATTCATGACTGAGGTAGATGCATATCCTGCACCGACGCCAGAGGTCAACATTTCAGCTTAGATAAAAGCCAGAAATTTTGTTTTTAAAGGCAGCTAGGTCTTTACCACTTAGAAGATTGGCGCAAGACAATACAACCTTCCTTAGTTGCACGCACATAAGAACACGCTAACTTCGATAAAATACTTGTAAACAATCAATGCTATCAAAATGTTTTTTTTAATATACAGTTGTTGCTTTTTTCTATCAGACTTAAAAAAATTACCACCTAAAAATCACTTTCTTTACTCATAGAATTGTATTCCTGTAAACTGGAACCGGGTTTTATTACTGCAGAATAGAAAATGGATTGTATTCCTGTAGAATAAAAATAGGATTGTATTCCTGTAGAATAAAAATAGGATTGTATTCCTGTAGAATAAAAATAGGATTGTATTCCTGTATAATAAAAATAGGATTGTATTCCTGTAGAATAAAAACAGGATCGTATTCCTGTACAATAGAAAACTGAAACCAAAAATTCAAAAATAAAGGAAGAATTGAAAGAAAACTCGGTTTGCATTAAATCACTGATAAAATCAAGTGTTGCGAAATATAAAGTCAATATAATATTGCAAAAATTAATCATATGAAATGCAAGAATCCCTAGAAAGAAATTACGTGATGTGATTCCTTTCTAAGGGGAAATGAGCCAAAATTGAAATTAGCATCTTATGAAATTGAATGCGTAAATCTAAGTTCAAATTCCGACTGAGGTCGATTTGTATTGCCTAAAACCTTGAGAAAAATCATTGTTCGAACAACTTTATCTTCTTGCTTTTATTAACTCATTAATGCTCGAATGACGTTTTTTCAAATTAAAACTACAGATGGGAATTTGTCATCTTAGATATTGGCAGTTATTTGCAGTGAGTGCATAAATCACCTTCCTGAATTAAGGTTCTATTATGGACTTTCCAACTTTTTTAAGAGGGATTATGCCACTTTTCTTATAACTGTTCAGGAATGGTCACGGGTTGAAGAGTACAGAAGGTAGCATTAAGATAAATAATTAGTTAATCCATGTAATCTGAAATTAAAACTAAAGTAAAACGTATTTACTATATTTATAACTCTACCATTCGTTCTTGCTTTGACTATTCTTGCGTTATCTGGTCTGGTGCTCCTGTTATATATTTAGAGATTCTTGATAAAATCCAAAGAAGAATCTGCAATTTTATTGGTCATGACCTTGCATCTTGGCTTCAGTCACTTTCCCACCGGCATAACGCAGCTTACCTGTGCCTTTTTCTATAAATACTTTCATGGTAATTGTTCTGATGAACTTTCCTCTATCGTACCTAGACTTTATGACTTTAAACGCACTACTAGATTGGCGGCAAGGTCTCATCATTTTACAGTTAAATTGACGAGATGTAACCGTAAGTTCTATGCTAACAGATTCTTCTATCGCACCTCTTGCTTGTGGAACTCTCTTCTGGATTCATGCTTCCCAGTCAATTTTGACCTTCAAAAATTTAAATGCAATGTCAACCATTATCTTTTGTCTTAATTCCTGTTCTTTTATTGTTCTCTCTCCTTAACAGTGTGCTTTTTTCTTTCACGTGTTCTCTAACATTCAGTAACTCCTTGCGTCTTAGTGGCTTTATTGCCTTGCTTGGTTGAAATAATTTAAAAAATGTTAAACTAACGTCGAGCTTCGTAGCAAAATTTAACATCACTATATGTAAGTATGAATATCGTATAATAAAAAATGCCTATTATAAGCTTAATTCACTGGATATATTCGTCATATAAATATAAGGGCATCCTGAAATTCGGGGCGAAGAGGTGAAGTGATATGACATTACTGAAGCCCCTGAGGACCATCATAGGCCAGAGTGAAAATGGTGGGCAATCACCATGTGCAAATGCTGTGCTCGCACAAAAGCACCTGCTATTTTCCTGATCCTATGACCATTCTTTCTCTCTCTCTCTCTCTCTTTCTCACTTTTTCTAAGTTCCTTTGTTTAACGTCTAGAGGCAGGAAGATGGTGCATATTTTCACTTCCTTTAATAGATTGCAATCTGTCATGATAATGCCTCATGGTAATGATTGAAATAGCAATAAGAATTTATGGCTCGCTAAAGATGTATTCCCAACATCAAGCGTATCACACACGCCTGCGTGCACACACACACACACACACTTTATATATATATATATATATATATATATATATATATATATATATATATATATATATATTAGTCGACAGTAAGGTCAATATCGAGTGGTGACAGTTTGTATTATGCTTGACGATAATCTTCAGGCTTAGGATTCAAGTATGAAACAGACTGTCGCTACACGGCATTGAACTTACTGTCCATTTTTATATTTACACACATTTTATCCCTGACCTTGAGCACTTTAACCATTTTCAAAATTTTAAGCCTTGAAAATGGCTAAATGTATAGCCGAAAGCACTCGGATGAAAAGAACATTTGGACAGTTTTTATGTAAATATAAATATATATATTCGAAAAAGAAAAAAAATATTAGATCACATGAGAAATTGTATAAAAAAAACTAAATAAAGGCACCTTGTCTGTCGTATTCAATGAAATGCGCATATATATATATATATATATATATATATATATATATATATATATATATATATATATAAAATAATAAGTAAGAACAGTAAGATTTATAATCCGGTGATCTTAACAATTATTTTATTTTTAAAAACAGTGCTCGATAGAAACAGTAGAGAATAATATTATAATTATTTTCTTTTTAAAAATACAATTCCATCACGACAGAGAAATTGAAGCTGAAGTTGGAAATTTAATTGTAAAAGTCAAATCTGTAGGAATAAACTTTAAATATTAAAAATATGACTTATATTTTAATTGACCCTTTTAGAAAATCTTTGTTTATAAAAATATCAATTAAGCGTATAAATAAAAATGCCAAAATATATTTGTCATTGAAAATCCAGACGATACGCTGAATAACGGATGTCTATGTTTCTGAGCAGGCACCCTACACCCCACCTAAACTTTATAAGTAACATATATTTGATACATAAATTGTCTAGGGAAATTAAACCCAACCATTTTTAATCAAAATAGATTGAATTTTCCTTAACCTAAGCAACACAAAATGTTACGATTATCTGCGCTTATAAATTAAGTAAATTTCTTAGAAAGTTATTCCTAGCATCGCTTGACAATGGAAAGAAAATCTGGATTTTAATTTTATTGTTTGTAATTAAATTTACAACTTCAGTTTCAGTCTTAAAAAAGAACATTATTATTATAATTGATAGAGCGTGTATAAATATAAATATAAAAGTGAACATAGAAGTCAACACTTAGAGGCGACAGTCTTTTTCATGCTAGATCCTCATATATATATATATATATATACATATATATATATATATATGTGTGTGTAAAACGTAATGTATATAAGGTTTATATACGTACAATATATATATTTCAAAGGCCACTAGATTGCGTCTAGCATGAAACAGACTGTTGACTTCTATATTCTTTGTTTAATAGTATTCATATTTCTTCTGGTGTGAAACAATCATACTTAACGCTATTGCAATATATAAGGTGTAAAAAACGAGTACAAATATTGGAGGCCTTAAGCATAAAACCAACAACGAATAAATTTAGGAATAAACACAGTAAAAACAAAATAACACGTCACTATAAACTGAAGCGTGAAGATACCGTGTGTTAGAAAAACATGACACCTAACGACGCGTTAAACTTGTCAATTGAACATAATGCATACCGATGAGATTTTGATAATCGTTTATGAAAGCGTTCAGAAGGTGCCAAAAAAATGAGTTTTGTTGAGCTGATGCAATTTGCTACCATGTCTGTGGAGTTTAGCTTTAACAATTTTATGTACAGACAGATTGATGGGGTTGCTATGGGCTCCCCTTTGGGCCCCGCTTTGGCCAACATTTTTGTGGGCTTTTATGAGTCGTCCCTCCTCACTTATAACAATGCACCGTCTATGTACCGTCGGTATGTGGACAATACATTTTGTCTTTTTAATAGTGAAGCGGAAGCTGATTCCTTTCTCACAGTTATGAACCAACTTCATCCATCTTTGAAATTTACCATCGAAAAGGAGTCTAATTCTTGTCTCTCTTTTCTTGATGTCCTTGTGCATCGGACTCCTCAATTTCTTACTTCGGTGTTTCGCAAACCAACGTTTTCTGGTTTGTATACGCGTTGGGACTCATTTTGTCCCAGAAAGCGTAAAATCAATCTCATCAAGACATTAACTCATAGGGCCTTGATGATTTGCAGTGAACAATATTTGGATGAAGAATTGGATTTTATCCACTGCACTCTATTAAAAAATGGATATCCTAGTGATATTCTTGACAGTGTCATGCGCGATAAAATTATTAATTTTCGAAAGGAAAAACAATACTTCGTTCAGAAATGTCCTATTTACTTGCGGCTTCCTTTTATTGGTTCCAGGGCCGAGCTTGTGGCTAGGCGGGTCTTGTCTGCTGTCCATCACTGCTATTTCTCTGCTCAACTAAGAATTCATTTTGCGAGTCGTGCTGCCTTTTCCTTTATCCGTGGGGATCCTCTTCCTCCCCATCATGTTTCTTCCGTGATTTATTCTTTTAAATGTGGTTGCGGTAGCAACTACATAGGAAGGACTTTCCAACGTTTAGATTGTAGGATCAGGCAACTTGTCCCATTGCGAGTTCTTAATCCGGATGCCCGTATGACCCACAGCTGGTTAATACTTCCGGGACAGCGATCACTGAACATTTGATAAA